AGCAAGTTTATTAGTGTCATTATTGTCGTCACTAAGTATGAGGAGCTATTGGATGTTCCCTGGCGGGCGTCATACCCAAATCCGGTCCGACAAGCTCTGAAGAAGTATGGCCTCCTACTTCCCCACTACTCAAAAGTTGGTCCAAGTCTTGCCAGTCTAACAATGAAGTATGTCAAATAACTGTATGCTTAAGGTTTCCATATGTAGAGTCTATACTTGGTTACACGATGTACTGGAGCACTAGATTTTCAATGTCATCTTGTAGGATAGTCCCAAGAAGACAAAACTTCACACTTTTCAAGGTAGTGTTCTCCGCAGTGAATTAGCTTTCTGAATTGGGGAATTTTAGATGAGTCTCCAAAAGTTAAAGTAAGAACATTAAAAGAAAGTGTAGGGAAAGATTCTGATCCTACAGGAGTGTTAAAGTTGCTGTGTGATATGTTAGTACAAGTGAAAGAAACACGCAAAACCAAAATGAAAAAATGTAAAAGATGAAGATTTGAATAAAATGCTTACCAAAAGAAATAACAGATATGAATGAAATTGGAGTTTGTGAAAATTGAGTTCAAAATATACCATGTGTCCCTCAATAGTCTCAATACTCCAAGCAGTTGTAAGAATTTTAGCGAGAAATCAATTCTTGAAGTGTTATGCTAACCACCCTTATAAACTTGTCTGAACAACAGTATTTGTTACAAATAACTTTCTGTGTGAACAGAGTTGAATAAGAGGATATCATTTTGGTCTAATCAGGACGTAATAAACATTATGTCACAAACTGTCCGGCACAGAATCTGAAAATTTGCAATCAACTGTGTTGGTCAATATCTCTAGTACATATAAAAATATTAGTTCTAATTATAATGTAATGTTGTAACATAGAGTATTTGCACAAATGTTTGAATAAACTCACATCGGGTAGATAACATTCTAAATTTCTATTTAGCTGGGGTTTTTCGAATAAAGTAAGGAGTGATCTAAGTTTTTCATCACCATACAATCAAGTCAAAATCTTTGTCTCGACTCTACTTCAGTCATCATTTCCTGATATAAAGACTAAGTTGTTAGCGAAAAGTATCTGATATCGTCTAGTTAACATATCATTCAACCTGTCTTTCTAATAAATTTAAAGTTTTTCGAAACTTCCTAGTTTTACGGTTTAGGAACCATTTTGGATTCATGCGAAAGTAAGAAATCGAAACTCACTATCTACTTATGATCAACTTGTTTCCTGACCTATACTGACAATCAGGAGTTACAAAAAAGAAGGTAAGTAGAATAAACTACGGGCTATGCTTCGCTGTACTTTGAATATACAACAACAGATTTGAACTAATGCCATCTTAGATACAGTAACGAAAAGTAAAAATAACTTGTCATCGAATATGAATCAAGTTTGTTTTTACTAAATAAAAAGAAGCACTGCGGATGACTTTCTACAAAACTATTACAACTAACTAACACACTATCAGTCTTGTACGAATAATTTTGCATGAGTTCCACTCGTCATTACCTAACCTGCGAGTAAGTACTAATAACAAAAGACAAATAATAGGACACGTTTACGTGGCTAAAAACGCTTATAAAAGCGACATATTCATTAGTATGCAATCGAGAATAATTTTTGGGCAAGCGTGGGAACTAATTTGACAACATATGGTTGGACTATGGACTTTGAGGACAACGCTATTAATAGGCACACAGCAGATGCAAAAATGTCGGTTGCCTATGAGTAGATGCCTACAAGTTAAAGCCAACCTTAGGAAACTAGAAGCACCTGCTGATAAATATAATGTAAGGGTAATAATTGGACATTTTGGTAAAGTGCAGTTCCACATCAAATTGTATATTTGATGTAGCACATAGTGATAGGGTAAAATTTACTGGGTTACGCCTCGAACAGAATTTATTACTCACAAACATTAAAGTAATCATAAGACTTCCAAACTTCCTTTATATAGTTCAACAGTTTCCTTATTCATTTATTTTAATGGTAGTGAAATTTTTCAAATATCTGAAACATATGACGAGTCATCCCAGTTACGCGTTGACTCAATAAACGAAGAATTTGTAATCCATCTCTCCGTCCAATAAGCTATATAGCATGCATGAACTGTCACCTAATTTCGTTAACTGATTGATAACCCCTATCTGTATGAACTTCACATTATGAGCATGTCATCCAGTTCACAACTTTGTGACTTTTTCGATTCAGTAATATTCTTCTTGAGTCTAGCTATTACCGGATACACACAGATTTAGTGGTCAATCAATTAGGCATTTTGATTTCATTCAGTTGGGCCGCATGATAACCACTGGTCAGTTATAGTAAGTCAATTAAAGTTATGTGTTGATGTTTCTCATTTGATCATCCAGTCTACCATGCAATAATCGAGACATCATCAGCCCGGATTGACAACGATTCGGATTACAGCAGAAGTTGTAAAACCACATTCACTCGGAACTTTTCGCCCTGACTTCGTAGATAATTTTAACGGTAGACTGTGGTGAAGATGGGTAATTGGAATTCGATAGGAATCAAATTGGTGGAGAGTCATGCTAGAATACGTCTTTGGAAATTGCGCACTTTGTGCGGTCTTTATGACCAGTTCTACAGGAACAGGTGAACCTTTGGGAACTCCCCTTATGCAAACTTGATAGATGCAGAAGCCAATCACTAACCCTTTGTACTTTTAGAATACCCACGACTGTAAAACCAAGAAAGAACACAATAGCCTAGACAGGAAGGAATAGTATATTTGATGAACCATGCCAAAATATAGAAGTAATTCGACTGATTGGCTAGATGGTTGTGCATTAACTACGCAACGTTACACCTGTTGAATGGCATGTGTAATTGACTGATTACCTTCAGCTTAACCAGTTAGTTAAAAATATGGTCAGGATCAACGCTGAATCTCACCAAACCTTAGACAATTGATTTTGGGGGATTATTTGCCGCTATAAACTTATCAATACAGTGAAGTGGTTGAAAGTGAATACATACCGAAGATGCGTGGTTTGGTTAGCTGCGATATTAGTAAGGAATGTGGCTATATGAATAAAAACTACTCACTTCCAGATAAATTACTATTGATTGCATTTCGGAAGTGTTCGCTCTTTTGATTCGTTGTCTTTCAAATATATTCAAGGTTCATTCAGTGACTATTTTGGCATATAACAAAGAATTTGTACATGCAGTCGAAGGTAGCATATATATATATATATATATATATATATATATATATATATATATATATATATGTATAATATTAATATTTACTTTAGTATTTCATTTCGTCAGAGGTTGAGAAGAGACTGCAAAAATTGAATGTATCCAAGTAATTTGGCTTTTCCAAAGTTCATACATGGTACTTTGATTGATTATAAAAAATCCATGCACGCAGAAGTAAGATCATAGGGTATTACTGTGTAGCAGAAACTTATCATACTTTTCAGTGAGAACACCACATCTAAGCCCTACCCGAAACACATTCTTTGTTCACTATACAAACAGTAAGATGATTATCGACATGGATGCTGTGTGCCGTTAATATATCTTCTGAAAGCAAACGAACTACTACTCTCAAAAGTATGGAATGAGTTGCCTGTATCAAAAGGGAATCTATACTCATTTATAAAGTGAACTAAGTTGGGGATGATATATCAAGGCTAAGATGTTAAACAAATTTCATCCTCAACACATAACATGAATCTTCTCTACTATTGTCTAGTGTTGTTTCACATGGTATAAGCTTACTAGATAGGGGCCATACGACAAATAAAAACTATGGTTTCAGAGTTTAGGTGATATGTTCTGAAGTTATTTGTAGTGGTAAAGATCAATCAACATTCTATAACATCCTAAATTCTGGACACTTGATTCACCATCTCATTGTTTGTTGCTTTTCTCATCCAATACTCTACTACTATCACCGCCATGATATTGGTTTCCATTCATTGTGATTATGTGAAGTTTGAAAGCTTAAGTGGATATTCAACTAGATCACATCGCCTCTTACCGATATCTTTTCATCCCCCTAAGATCTTCTAAGTGACACTTTCAGGGTAATCTGGAGATATCCAAGAGTTACTCGACTAAAAACCCTTACAGGTTCGAAGACTTTTCAGCACTACAATCTGGATAGTCAATGACCATCATCAACCTGCATAAAACTGTTCACTTTGCAAAACCATACTCAATGAGTGAAGCGAAATCGTTTAAATTCAGGTGAAATGCATGGACCCATGAATGATTGAATCGACAAGCAGAGACACAAGCAGGATGAAGTGATCCTACACCAGTTGAACTAATCACTTCCCAATCTAATATATACGGTAAAACAATCGGAGATAATGAAAGAATCTACCTAGGAATTCCAAGACATGAGTTCCAATAAAACTTAAATAATTCAAAACTAAACGTAATATTTACACATGAAACCCAGACATCAAAACATGGATATATGGTATACCAAACAACAACGATGAGTGGTAAAATAGAAAACATTGAATCGTGAGGTCTGTGGATGTGTTGGACTGTCAAAGGCCCTCTATACGTTTATTGATAACAAAATAAACAGTGAAAGGATGTATCGAAACTCAAACCATGGTTGAGAAAGAAGAGTACGCGAATGCTCCAAATAAGCAGAAAAGATAAAGAAAAATAAAGGTCCAATGAACAGTATGACAAATGTAAATCAACTTAAAAAGGGTAAAATGCAATCAGGAAGTGACTAGAAAAACTAAAACATCAAAGTCTTAACATATTAAACAAACTGGGTTATACGACAAAATGAAATGTACGTGATGTTACTACTTAATACTAATAAGTAGTATGAAGTTGAAAGAAAAAATATGAAGTTGGTCGCAAAATGAAGAAAGCAGTAGAAATAAAAATGAATTTAACAATTTAGCTCTTGGAATATTTTAATGGCTATAACTTGAGGATGCAAAATGATTAGCAAACACTATGAACAAAAAAGTATGCGAAAAGTAAATCAAAATTCAAATTGGTTCAAAATTTCAAAATGACGTTCCAGTGAACAGTTCACTTCGATTTTTTCCGATTCCGTAGAAATTGACTCAGAAATTCTGGAAGTATCAGCCATGAAGTGTAATACTTTTGTAAATGGTAGATTAAACTGGGATAAAATATCTAGAAATCTATTAAAATCAGCTGATTTTTGAGGTTTTGAATGGTTCATTATCTATAATCATATAAAATTTTACATGAAATTAGTGTTAACATTAAGTAAGCGATAAAACAATCCAAAGAACAAATAAAGAAATATAAGCACTTCTTCAATTCATCTTCAAAAGATTGATAGTTGCCACCCAGATGACTGTATAAAACACCACGTAGTGGCAATCACAAAAGAATATCACTTGTACCATACTTAGGTTGGTATTATTTAAGCAACCTCAGAAGCAACAATTTATAAAAAACCAGTGGCAGTTAAGAGAGTTACAATTTTAATCAGATTCTGAAAAGCGATACAATTTCGTTGGATTGTTTTTTTGCTCACCCACTTATCGCTAGGTGCCTTGATGCGTTATTCCAGAGACAACTCAGCATGAAGAGGAATACTCTCACTATCAGCAGAATGTAATAGCTTATTGGCAACTACCATCTTAGCTCATAATAGCAAATAACATTTATTCAGGATATTCATTCTCATTATTTCCCCTCAAACTTTTTTTCCCGACTCCCAGTATATGTTCTTTTTTACTTCGATATTTTAAGACCCAGCTTTTTACCTTGACACCGTATAACCGATTTATGATATTTATGGTATAAGACATTGAAAAATTGCAAGCTGTCAAAACAATCTAAGAAAAATATGGGATATAATGTGAACATAAAATTCACTGTATAGCGAGACATCCAAAAGTAACTAGTGTTACGTAATAGGGCGTGAGAAACTATACTTTCAAGTTGGTATTCACCATGGTCTGAAATTAGTTGAAGAAACCTGATGAATTCTAACTTGAATCCAATTAATCCCCACAAACCCACAAACTGAACTATACTTTTATTTAAAGCCAGAAAGTAGTTACGCTTTTGATTGGATTGAGGCATATTAAGGTGTTTACCTTAAACGACTACTGTCTCCAGTGAAATTGCCGGTCAGTTCAAGGAAAGAGAGGTTGGAAATGATTGACTTTTAAAACACCGTACTATGACTTACTCAAAAACTTCTGGGAATGAAGGGAACGCCTTAATCACCTAAGTTTTAGTTGACTAAGAATTATCAACCGTTCGTAAAGTAATATTTATTGGTCATCACTACTCAGTATGGGTTAGAGGTATCAATAAACTGAATCTCAGATGAAATTCTCTTGTGGTATGGTACAGAAACAAAAACATTAGGATGCTCATTGTACTTTACCTATAGTACCCATTTATGCGTTGATGAACTGCAGATTTTCACTTTATTTAGTAATGGAAAGTGTGAGAATATACAAATGGTAATCTTGTGCATTATGAAATAGATTAATGTAAATTAAATTTTCAATGAAAAGTTTACACACCATGGTATATATCTGTTACGTCTAAGCAATTAAGACAATGAGAAGACACTTTTGTTTGATAATTAGACACTTTATTTCAATAGTTTTAGGATGTAGTTTCTGTTCTGAATGATATCTCCATGTAAAATCAACTAAAAAGTTCATTTTATGTATATTGATATAAGAGTTACCTACAGTTGTAAGAAATTAGCAAAATCCACTTACTATAATGAAGTCATATTATTCTGCTTCAGTTATTTTAAAATTTATCCACGTTTCGGAAGGTTATAGTCTTAATATTAAAGCAGTTATATTCAGGTTACAGTTAGAAGCACTTCGAAGAAATTTGTGAGTCATTCCTTTCCGCATGTACTCATAGAATTTACTTGGAAACTCAGAAATGTTATGAATAACTACCCAAGTAGTAGTTGGGATAATGAAATGACCCATAGTTATCATCGAATTATTCTGGGACAAAATGGTGGATATATTTCCCTTTCTTATTTGCATAATTTGGCCAATAATGTCGTTCAGTAACCAGAAGTCTTTTATAACCAGTGAATTGTTCACTCACTCAGTCACGACGTATGTGATGAACTAAGTGAGTTTAATTGCACTAAGGTTGATGAGATGCCTCAACATTTCACGAAAATCTTGCTTGGAATACCAGAAAGCTGAAAATTAAAGTAGATGATCGGTTGGCGACCATATCCAAATTCTGGGAATCCAAGAAAGTTGTACCTTCCCTTCGACAAGATCTTTATTTTTCAGTATGATGATCCATGCTTAATATCCGAATCAATTTGAAACTAAAACATTGCTTTTCTTAAGATGAAATAAGTACATGATGGAGACTGCAACTTTAGGCTTCCTTATACTAATGGTTGCATACCTATTAGTCTAGTCTCCTCTAACCTCACTATAACCAAGTACGAATTTATTCCTTTTTTACTGTAACATCAGTTATTTATCTTCAAGAAAAATGTCTGGATTAGCCTCAACATAAAACAGTTGATTAATTGATGAGATGCCAACGACTGTCGTATTAAAAGCTTAACCTCTGAAAAATATCTAGATATCAAAAAATGGAAACATGACTTGATCGAATACCTATTTCTATTTAATGACTGCACTGTGGGTTTATATATATATATATATATATATAACGCCTACTGGTAAATGTATGAATAAATATCGCTAAAGTATTTAAACTATTAGTGTGATCACGGGAAGTAATTTCGCTCGAAACATTACCAAAATAAAAAACTTACTATTATGTGTTGAAACTTTGCATTGAAAATCTGCTTCTAAAGTTTGAGAAATGGAGTCAATATACTTTGTGTAAGATTCTAGATTTAAACTTGTTGTTATGTAACAGATAGGCATTTGACAACAAATGTCAATTAATGTTTTTGAATTCCCACGAGATGATTACTGATAATAAGACTTTTCAATAGATACACAGTAATCAAACAGTGGATTCTTGTCGACTGAAGACAGGGTATTTATTTCATAAATACCAAAATGTATAACTTTAACAACTGCTGATTCTCAGATGATTAACTAATTCACTCATGTGGATGGCTATAACAACTCTAATTACTGACGACCTCTCGGTACGAGTACATCAGTTATCATTAACTTAGTTTTAAGTAGAAACATAGAAGTGAGGGAATTAGACAGCTGATATTTTCTTTCATGGAAGATACTTGATTGGAATAATTAATTTGTTGGATTGTTCGGTGTTCCCCGAAGTTTGAGGTTTGTTCTTCGGCGTTTATCATCAGCATTCACTTCATAAAGATTACCTTGCAACTAGTTTTATAAAACATTTTATGCCATGACCGACTGTTCCATATTACGAAGCAACAGTAATTTAAATGATGTCGTTGTTTTGTTTGTAATTTATCGAATATATGGGTTATTTAGATAACGCAGTATATAAGAAATCAGTCACATGAGAATTCAATACACAAAATAACGCTTATATAGTATTGTAACACTTTGGCATAGATATTAAAACCATACGACCATTATGAGCATTTATCTCGTTGCTTTATTTTATTTTACCTTACAAATGCAAAGTTTGAAAGCAAACAAGGAGGTTACGCGTAGTGGATTATCAGTATCTTTGATACCCTACTCGTAAACTTAATGTGATACCAACGAATATCAGTTACAACTGTACAGATATATTCTTCCCTTATCACAAGAATAAGATATCAACTTACTACATACCTTTGCATATAAATAGGCATACGACGTCACACCATGTAACTTACTCAAGAAACTTGATTCAGTCATACGATGCAGTAGCTAATAAAACCATTAAATAAATGTCATTAAAAAAAACTGAATAAATACTACCTGATAAGGAGTTGCGTGGACATGTATTTTGGGACATGTTGCAGGTTTCAGTAAAGACAGGTAGTTCACCGAAACTGGCCACTGATGATGTATGCCTGGATGTCCAGAATCTAACCAGTAAATATGTGATAGACTTTTGCAAATTTCATTTGTTTCAGTGGTAAAATCTGAGAAAAGATGACTTGATGTTTCGTTGGAATCATTTGATACGGATAATTCATATATTAATTCAGTCAAGACACAACATCCTTTACTGAAACCAATCAATCTTAAAGGAATATTTAACACTTGACACTGCACATCAGATTCACAATTAGACAGATGTTTAACCGCATTCGATAGCAAACAGTTTAAATGTCTTACCGCTGTATATTCATATATTTCATTATTTTCAAACAACGGGATACCAGATTTTGTAAAAGACAGAAAATTAACATAACACGCTAATGAGTTGGCTATCCACTGTGAAGCTCGAATAATCCATACATGAGGATTACTTTGACTGAATTGATTGGTGAATCGTTCGTATAAATTTTGAGCAGTATTTTCTAAACTCCATTTGATATATTGATTGGTGAACTTATTTTGACGCATGTTACTCTCGTAATCCTATACAGTGGGATAAGGAAATCAATCGAAAATGTAAATGAGAAAGTTATTCTGATGTAAGCTGCCAGTAACAAATGATAATTCCAATAACATGGAAGCATACAGGTTTCTGCACTAGGCTTTCAAGCACACTCATTGAGTGAAGGCTACCTATGCTACCTGACTACTCACAAGTCTAGCCAGGTGAAACCCGTGACCCATCGGTTGAAAGCTGAAGTCTTCAAGTCAGCGAGTTATAGTTTTACAGAAGATAAAGATAAAAATGAAAGATTCTATGACTCCAATCAAGACGGATATTCCTACTTAGAAATGCACCCGGTATATTTTTCGACAGTATTATGGATATCTTGCCAAAATCAACCAAACAAAATGAATTTCAACCTACGTATGAAGTACAGTAAATTGCGATTTAAAATCACCATGTAGAACTGTGATTACTACTGGGAAGTGTAAATGTCGTCATCCACAGTGTCACGATAAATTACTTAGGAATCGAAACCTCATCAGTCAAAACATCGGTAAATGAATACAGAAAACGAAAGGAAACACGGACTATGTAAGTTTTGTAAAATCCTGAATTAAGACTAAGGTAACTAGTGCATTGGTTAACTGTTTAAGTAGAATGTTTTATGGTTTAGGGATTTGGAAAATCAGTATTTAACATACCTAGCTGATTTCTGCCCATCTCACCGAATTCCTTACACGAGAATGTACAAAGTATGACATTGGATTCCTGCGGTTATAAAAGATGCCTCTTAGTGCTATGGAATATAAAACTGATAACCAATCTAGTCTCTTAAATTCAAGCTTTTTAAGAAACGAAAGGATTTATCTAATATTTTTTGTTGTAAAGACATACAGGGCTAAGTAGTACCTCAGTCAATAAATCTGTTTAAGATGCTATTTGGAAATACTGCGAATAATTTACGTTTGGCTGAAGGATTGGATGAAGTTTTACAACTATCCACAATAAACATTTATTGGATAATCTTGAAAAGACTTTCAAAAAGTACGGAACGAGAAAAGTTGATAAGACTAATGTATTATAAGTAAATTTCTAATGATAAGTTTACGGTATGATGTCACTAAAATTTTACTTATAATACATTAGCACAATCCACAAACTTCACTGATATACTTGATGATACATTTAATAATAAACTTGGAAGAGAGTATTTTCCATTCTCTTAGCAAGCAATATAGATAATACCTTGCGGTCAATTATTAAATGAATGAGATGTTATAAAAGAATCTCAGACTATAGTTTATTAGATGGATCACACGGTGAAATAGTGGATAACATTTCAAACACAATAGCTTTAGGAAGTGGTTTATGTGACTCCAACTTTTTTCTTCCCCTACGTGGTCAGAGAAGAATTTAGTAGATATTTGGAATCGATGTTGAATTACCTATTGAATTACCTTTTGAATTATCTATACACAAAAAACCTACTTGGATAGGTCAGTATTTAAGTTTCCATAGCTTTTGTCCAACTCAGTACAAGCGAGGTTTGGTAACCTGCCTATTCAAAAGGATTCAGAGTATCTTTACGGAAGACTCAATGGATAATGACATCAAAGTACTAACTGAAACACTAGTAGAAAAAGGATATCCCTCGAAGTTCATAAACCGTTGAGAAAATCACCAAGCGTTGAAACTTATTCTGTATTCTATTTCGAAGAAATGCGTTTGTACCGCGCTACCATACACAGGGGAATCTTACAGAGTAATTTTTAAACGCAAGCTAAGATACTACGTAGCTAGGCTTATTGTACTAGAGATAACTAAACATAGACCTCAACACCGCATAAACAACTGAGTTAGATTCCACTACGTGTGTTTGTGGACACATAAATAGGGAGAATTAATCAAGATATTCACGTGATGGTGGAGAACATGTACCGAAATAACTTCAACAGCAGGTAGATTCGCAAACATCGATAAGCGCAGGAGGCAGACAACTATCATCGTCCATTGCAAAACATATTATTTATGAACGTCATAGGATAGGGTTACAATTCTAAAATCCGATATAGCTAGGTAGAGGGAAAGACTGATCACAGAATCTCTGCTCATTGAAACAATATTTAACATGTAACAGGAATGACTCATCATATATTGGGAAAGTTTACTACCATTAGAATAAACGAATGAAGAAACTGTTAGACTGAATGACCTTAAAGGTCAGCCTGGCAATGACGAATTAGCTTCCTTTATTTCGACTGGTTAGGTAGTTTTATTACAAAATTGACAACCTGGCTAGCCATTTCAGTAGCTGATAGAGTGGCCTTTAAAGTAGTTCATTGGACTATATAAAGGAAGCTTGAAAGTTGTATGATATGAATATGAGCAATGAATTCTGCTTACAACGTCATGCAGTAAGTTATACTATATCATAGTGTGTGATTTTTTTCAAGCGTCTTACATCCATAATCTAGTGTCATATACTCGGCATTATCTTTAGCTGTATCGAATAATGCGATACTTTGAAGGAAATACTGACTAAATGTACAAAAACTACTTTCAACTTGTGATCTGCATACCTAAAGGTCATAAGCAGAATAGAACAGATTGACTATTACACTTCAATGAGCAGGAAAGAGATAGGATTCCAATTTAACTAAGTTAACTTGAGATAACGTAGTGAAACACTTTTATTCACTGGATGACATTTTGAACACAACTGATCACTTATAATCACATTAAAATCATGATACTATCCGGTTGTCAAATATGTCGTATGTGGAGCGGAGTTCGAACCAGTAACTTTTGTTTGAGAGCTAAGCATCTAAACCCTGTTAGCCTTGAGGATAATCGAACCAAGTGGCAGCACTAACCCCTCAAATGAATGGTGATTTATTTCTTCAAGTCCTTTAGAAGAATACTGAACTGCCTTCTATAGCTATCAAGAAAGTAAAGAGACAGTTGGAAACCACAAGTGATTTGACTATAGTAAAATAAATGTATCTAACTTTCATTTGACTCGATATCTTATATTAACTTTATTTATCTAACATCATTAGACTTTATTCACCTTCCCTATCACTGAAGAACTGCAACTTAAATAGGTGCACTTTTGTTAAACTAAATGATGATTCAGTTATCTAAGTAACTCTACTTGGCTCATGATGAACCAGTTAGTCCTCTTAAATACTGAAAGTGGAGTTCTTATATAGAACAGCCGAAAGTTTAATGCTTTAACCATTCACAAAATGCTCACCTGTATATCTCCCCCAAAGTAGACCAAATTCACAGTTGGAAATGTTTTCTTCCCGAGAAAAACCACATCGTTACGCTTATTGAGCGAGCCCACACAATCCTTAATTTCACGTCTTATCCAACACATATGCGATCACTGTTGTACTGATTTCTAATCTAAGGGAAAAAGCAAAAACGCCTTTATTCAATATTTTAAAATGACATTTTGTTCCAATCCACGTACAATTAATGAGTTAAACTAAGCAATAACTATACTTTTTACGCTGTTTTATCTGATTTATAATACTAGGTCTTTTTACAAATATATTATTAGTATATGCATGGTTGAAGGGTTATTATTGGAAAAAAGTAGATATAAATAGACAACTATTAGTGCTCTCTCGAGAATGTTGTTGCTGGAAGCAAAGTTAACAATTAATAAAATCAGACATCTAATTCCATCGGTGTAAAATAATGAAGCAACTATTCACATTCGAATGGTCAGTCGGCTTTTGGTGACAACTAGTCAGTCATATAATTTTACGGCGGTCTAAGTCAAATTGTAGAGAATAAACCCCATGTTCAGAAGTATTGATCTCCCATATATAGGACAGTTCAAAAACTTCATTAATACAACCGCAGTGGCTGAAATTCATCTTCTTTAAGTGGATCTGTCTATCCATAGCTATGCGCAATCTGCATAATACAGTGGGGTTTAGTGCTTCGGATGAAATTAACAGCAGCCGCCTACTCTATTGTTTTCCAAACAAGGTGGAAACTTCAAAGATGAAAACGATGATAGGCTGGTTTTACAGTGATTAAATAGTCATACATCTTAAAACTAAAGCCAATACTTATTACGCAAATTTGTTTGTCTGATCGAAAAAAGCTAGAGGTAAGCCACTAGATAATTTGTTGTGATTGAGTTCTCAAGGTTCCTAACGAATCTATAGTTTGTTAGATAACATTGATTAACTGTCCAAAAGCTACAGTGAACAACAAGAGCAAAAACACTGGCTTAACCGTTCACCAAAGTGTTTTGCCAAACATCACTGAAATTTTTCAGGAATGAATATTTAGATATTCCTCCCAGCTAACAGCTGCTACTTTTTTGGATGTCTTATTTCACTAATGTTTTGGTTCTTGAGTATAGATAATAACAGATAATCTGTACATAGTCAGTGGGTTAGTAGTTTATTACTTTGATTTCATTCAGATGAACCGCAGGATAGACACTGGTCAATCCCAGAGTCACTATTTCTAAAGCCATACGCCAAAGTATCAATTCGACTACTCAGTTTAGTGAATAACTAACTGGACGTAGTGCGTCACTATTCCGACCAACAGAATTTACAATTTTAAGAGAGTATCAAGATTCAATCCATACTGTTAGCGTAAATGATATAAAATTTAATAAGGTTCTGAAAGGAACATCGTACTACTAGTCAGATTAGGATATTAGAACAATGTTATTCCTATCAGATGACTGGAATTACCAGTTACGGTCTTTCACGATCGAAAACAGAGGTTATAAATGACTGGTTCTAAACAACCACACACTTCGCCTAAGTCATAGATACTGAACTTCTTTGAAAAATGAACGCATCTTTCTGAAAACCAATAGACTCCAAAAAGCTATATTCGATAGCCTACGACTCCGCGGTCAGGCACTCATTCAACTTTCTTTTTCGAAATTCGCAAAACGATAGCCTTGAACCTTGTCACTTTTTTTGTAACCACCACCAGACAGGGAAATCAATGCAGAACTCTACACAGAAGTGCATCAATTCGGTTTCTCATGCTTCATAATAGCCAAAAAGAAGTGAGTTACAACAGTGATGCGACAAACGATAAAAACGGATATAAGAGGGAGAATAGATATATGAAAGTTAGACATACAAATACCCCGGTGTGGTAAGGCATGCGATGAGCTTACTAGTCCTCTAGAAATATTTGGACATAACCATGAATTGACAGCTTCTGTCAGAGAAATACTACTCACTACCTTTAGGAGTCGGAGGTGCTTCCACAAAAATGAGAAGGCGAAATTGAGTGCTTGGTGCTTTTAAACTATTTAGTAGCTAAGAGAGGTTCACCTAAGGCGAATTGGAAACTCTCATTTCAACTACTGATGCACACAAAGTTCAGCATCCAGGAAAGACCACACACGAATGTAATTTGATCATCAACATCTATGAGAATGAAGCACCTAAAGTTGTTCCACTTGCTTGTGAACTAAACTTCAACTTAAAAGCTCACTGAGTTATCGCCTAAAACAAATATTTATTGTTATACTGCTACTCATGTAGTATTGTAGCCCCTCATAAGATCAAACGTTTACAATGAAGGATACACAGTCTTAATCGAATAATGCTGCAAGAAACGAAATTCCTTGCATAACGAACTCCCAACTAAGTTCATAAATTTATTGTCTTCCCACTGCTGTTGTCACTTCTGAATTTGTCCATATCAGTACTTTTGTTTCACCCAGCTGCTTCTGGCCAACAGAAATTCCGATTGGTCTATACCGTTTTAGTCAATACACCGTTGCTTCCTCAAAGCTATCCTTAGGTATCATATCTGACTTAACTATCATGAAAACACGTAAAACGCTTAAGCTGACTGCCTTCAAAGTTTTTAACTTGCTGAAGATTTGATAATATATAGGGTAGGCAGGGACTCTAGAAAGCCTTGCTACTGATGCACGCTGTATCTCAGAAACACTTAAACAGAATCTCACTGAAGTGCTTTAGACAAATATTCCATTTGTGAGCACAAGTTTTTGTCGTGAACTTATCTGACAGACACTGATAAACGTTAGTTCTGGCGCAGAGCATAGGCTAAAACTGCCACATTTGACAACTGCATTCAAAAAAGTAGAGAAAACGAATAGCACAGAATTGGACAGAATTATAGGTGAGGAGAGAGAATAAACAGAGAGCTTAAGGTAGATATTCAAGACTTCAAAAACAACAAAGAGTAAACATCGTGACTGATTTTCAGTTATATTACTTAGAGCTCCCAGCCGCTGAATCCTATTGTCCTAGGGATTCCAAGCAGACAGTTTTCACCTTCCTGTGGCTCAAACCAACAGTCAACGACTTCATGAACTGGTACCAAATGGTAGTCTATTCACCTTAGGCCTTATTTCAACACAGTTTTATTCCGAGGAACATTACACGTCACAATAGGCGGTGGATCGAACCAGCTGGCGGCAATCCAATGGCTTTTACTAACCTTTGAATTTAGGCTACTGACTATAAGTACAACTTCTTTCATGGCATCTACAAATTATGCTTATCTTGGTCATTCTACTAAATTTCAGCATCCTCTCATTCCGTTTTTTTCCTGACAAAATTAGCAGATGTAAGTTCTAAACTTGCTACTACCAATTTTAGCTGTTGGCCTATCAAAATTCATGTCACTGTCCACGTCAGAATAAAAAATGATCATTTTTTGGACGTAGCTACCCGGTATTATTTCCATGAAAAAGACTTAGATGTGATGAGAACAAAGTATACAACATCTCTGTAGTTTGTTTCACAATTTCAAAGATAAAAGTTTGTTCCATACAGATTGCTTATTTGACGTAGCAAACAGTGATGTAGTATCATTTACTGAGTGATGTTTCGAGATCATAACTTATTACTCATGTTGAGGCAGTCAGAAATGAACTCACTACTGAACACGAACTTAGTAAAGAACTAAAGTTTCGACTGAAGAAATAATGCTAGCAGTACATTTGTATCTAACTTCTACGGTTTTCAAATTTCAAGACAAATTTTTAAAAACAGACAAAGTGGCGATTGAATCTCCAATATCCTTGATCACAGTAGAAATTTATTGACAGTTGGTAATAGACAGCATTAGAAACACTCCAACTTACCCCAAAGTACGTTGGCGATACGTACAGATGAAACATTTACTACGTTAAAATCAGAAAATATTCTGAGTTTCCTGTCCATAGCCGAATGCCTTTGTCTAGGATTTGCTGTAAGACTAACCATATTCAAATCTGTAACTCTGGTGAAGATGTGATATCTGTTATGATATGGCCAAGATACGAAGTGAAACCCGGAATGCCTACTAACATAATATATATGACTTGTTGAAAAGTGGTGGGTACAGTCTTGATGCGACAAACGACTACATTGGAAAAGACCTAGATGAGAGTTGGTTATCAGGAGTTTAAAACATTCAGGCAAAACTTCGACTTGTAAGTATGCGTTCGAATTTTTTTGAAATACGTACCTCCATTTAGTGTGGTAAATAGATAGTCTGGAATAGACAATGGGTAACGACGTTGCTTCAGAGCAGCATTAAGATCTGCTGGAAAGTTGGACCATAGTCACACAGAGCCATTAGCTTTCTTTATGAAGACGACTGGGGGCCCCCAAGAAGAATGAGATAATGGAGTAATAACACCCTTCTTTTCCACTCGTTTCAGTTCTGCCTCGGTGAGAGGTAGATATGTATATGGAACGGGTCTTCTAGGACGATAAACAGGTGATGCAATGGTTTCCAGGTGTGGTCGAAGTCAGGTTTGAAAACATCCTTATATTCAGTCATAATATAGACAGAATTCGTCGGGACATCTGACCCTGATTTCACTTTATTGCATGCCGTATTCAATGGGAGGTCAACAAATTTCACGCTCTGGAACCGACTGAGACCCAACAAGTGGATATTATGTCAGTAACTGTTATGGTTTCGAACGCTAATGATTATATATTCCGAAAAGAAAATAATACGCACGCGTAGCCGCCAGCTAACTTAGTACGCAAGAGCCACTGACTGCAACCCCGGGATGAATAGAGAGAAGACCGAAACTGGCAGATGGGAGAGTGTATTACTCCGAGAATATAATCATAAATCAATCCAAAGCACGTGAATAAGTATACACATGAAAAATGACCTTGTCTTCAATTTGAAGCACTTGCATAGTAAGAGTAAAGATTAATCAATTAGCAATTTACATTACAATGGGGGCAGAAAGTAGACTACTAGTCATACTGTAAAAACGGCATGGAAATGACACGCTAAAATATTCAGATCAATAACAATGTTTTATACAAAACTGGGGCATCACAACAGTAATGTAATGCAAATGAAATACATCGGTACAACTGACCGGTGAGTTGGAGTTAC